ACTACAGACATTTGGACTTGTTCTATTACTAGCCAATCTTATTTAGGTATAACTATTCATTTCATTACAAATTTTTGGGAAATGAAAAAATGCCTTATAGACATAGTTTTACTTCAAGGTTCACATTCTTCTTCACTAATAGTAAATCAAATTTTATCAACTTTGGAAGAATTTAATATAAATGATAGAGTAATATCATTAACTACAGACAATGGCAGGAATATGGTGGCATGTGGTAGAGATTTAGCAACTGAATTGGATAAAGAATTTTCAAATTTATCATTTAGTCATTATCGATGTGCAGCCCACATAATTAATTTGGCCATAAAAGCTGGATTAAAATGTATTGATTCAGCTATTATTAAACTACGACAACTTGTTATTAAAGTTAGAAATTCTCCAAGATTAATTGATGATTTAAGAACTATATGTTCTGTAAAACAAAAGCAATTTATTATGCCAGTTCAAGATGTTGAAACAAGATGGAATGCTACATATTGTATGATAGAATGTCAAATTAAAATGAGAGAAATAATGCAAATTTTAGTACATTCTCATAAAAACATATTAGAAAATTTGTTTCCAACAGTCTTAGAATGGGGAAAAATAGTAGTAAGTACAGAACATTTTACATTTTATATATATTGTATTATATAAATATAATTTTTAAACTCATTTTAAAATTTTAATAATAGGAATTGGAATCAGTTTTGAAGCCTATGTATATGGCAACAACTTTATTATCAACAACATCATCTCCAACACAAGGAGATCTTTGATTGTCTTTTCTTGGGATGTTTACTTCATTAAAAAATCATATGAGGACTAGTTCACAATCAAAAAAGCAGGTTGCAACTACTATTTTACAAAAATTAGAAAAATATTGGAAATTACATCTTTCAGAGTCTTCTTCTATCTCTGCAATTTTGGATCCACGCTATAAAACTACACTATTCACTGAAGGAGAAGAAAAAGAGCAAAATATTAGATTTTTATATAATCTATATGAAATA